AGCCTTAAGTACAGAAAATTTCATACAGATGTTGACGTGGCAAAGCCTAATTCACCTTTTTTTTCCATCTTTTAATGATTTCATGCCATATATTGTTTGTCGAAATTTACTATTAAAATTTTCTTTACTTGAAGCATAATTGCTGGAAAACCCTTGATTCTGTCACATCACATATATACCCTTCGATGAGTGATGGTCAGCATCGATCAATGGTGTATGCTTGCGTGCAAACCCCACGCACCCCAACTCAAAGTACACTGAATGAAATCTTAGTGGGTTTTGGAGAATTGGAGTCAGTCAATGGCTTCGAGTGATTTGATTTATTAAGTGTGAAAACTTGTAATATATAATTTAGGCAAAATTGTAGCTGAGGTATCTAAACTTTCGAAATATAGCAAGTAGGTTCTGAACTATTATTTTGGTGGTGCCGGTTCCCAACATCTTCTTTGTGTAAAACTCAAGTCTCCAACGGAGAATTTTCTCCTTTTATTCATTACTATTTTTATCTATTTACAAATTAAATCATTTTATGGAGGCTAAACAATGAAGAAAATATGATTAGAAAATAGAAAAATTAAAAGATTAAAAAAATAAAAAATAAAAATCACTGGAGGAGTGGGGAGTTTTGGGGGCGAGATGGGTTTCGTTTTGTCGTTGATTATCTAATAAATAAAACTAACTCTAGTTAAAAAAAAAAAAAAAACAAACAAACAAACAAACAAACAAACAAACAAAATTAATGATTTTGAGTTGCTTCAGCATATCTACTTATTCACTAAAAAACAAGCAATTAGAAATAAGTAATAAATTCTTGGATTTAAATCGAATCATGAAATACACTAGGAACCTGAATCCCTCCTTGCTAACATATTTAAATCCTCAATTATCCATTATTAAATCAATTTGTGTGTTATATTGGTAATCAATATTCCTTATATGTTAACTTTATTTTCTTAGGATAAGTTAATTCAATTTTTACCTAAGATCTAACCATATATATAATGGATGCATATATATAAAAACGCAAGAGTGCAAAACTAGAAAATCACAAACGGTTGCACTAAGTATATATCTTTATTTTCTATAGGACCTAGTGTTGTTTATTATAATGTGCTAATTTATACCTAATCTCTTGAAAGAAGTATAAATCACAAACATATTCTAATGGTGGCCAATCATCAAAAAGGAGTAAAGAGAATAATAAACTAACAATTACTAGAACTAAACTAAAATTGAGCAATTAATAAGAAAATTAACAATATTTAATCTTTAATTCTAGCCTGAAAATAATACACTAGGAACCTGAATCCCTCCTTGCTAACATATTTAAATCCTCAATTATCCATTATTAAATCAATTTGTGTGTTATATTGGTAATCAATATTCCTTATATGTTAACTTTATTTTCTTAGGATAAGTTAATTCAATTTTTACCTAAGATCTAACCATATATATAATGGATGCATATATATAAAAACGCAAGAGTGCAAAACTAGAAAATCACAAACGGTTGCACTAAGTATATATCTTTATTTTCTATAGGACCTAGTGTTGTTTATTATAATGTGCTAATTTATACCTAATCTCTTGAAAGAAGTATAAATCACAAACATATTCTAATGGTGGCCAGTCATCAAAAAGGAGTAAAGAGGATAATAAACTAACAATTACTAGAATTAAACTAAAATTGAGCAATTAATAAGAAAATTAACAATATTTAATCTTTAATTCTAGCCTGAAAATGTTTTGCCTATCATGATTAGATAGCAGGTGTTGACCTCGAATTTTACACCTCGGACGTGATTAACAGATTTTAAGGCTTTTTACGTCCATGTAAGCCTGATTCTTGCTTACTTAGAAAAATCGTTAGCTACACATGACTTCTTTCAGTGGTGGTAAAGTTAATTGTGCGCACTTTGACGATTAAGTCAATTGGAGTAATAAGTATACGGGTGTGGGAGGGGCCTTAGATGCAAGCCCCAAATATCAAGAGGTTGATTTTGGGGAATTTCTTGATAATAACAGTAACGATAGTAAAGTTGTAATTTCATATTCTAAATTTGCATTACCTTTAAAAAGATATATTGTGTGAGCTTTCATAGTAAAATATGATGGATGTTGACCGTAGGATTAAAGTGTACGTGGCCTGTCGTGCGGCTAAAGCCTCTTATCGAAGGTATCAATCAATTGCAAACATTGAATGCTAATACCATTTTGTTGTCCATAAATTTGACATGGGGCTTAAATTTGACTTGATTGGCTGAATAGGGCGAAGACAGCAGTGAATTGTTACATCAATCATATATCAAGGATTGCATGAAAGATCTCTTGTTAGATCCCTTTTGCAACCTCTCCCATGAATGAAGGTTTGATTCTTTCATATGAGGTCGACTCAGTCAAATGAGTTCAATATCTCATATAAGTTCGGCCAAACTGCCTTTTAGGTAGAGTATCGTCGAGTTTGGGCTAGATTAGCCAGTCATGTAGCATCCGCCAGAGTCTCGTCATACAAGGCATAACAACAAGAATAGCTATTTAGATAAGAATACATCACCATAATTTCAAGAATAATTAAGAGGAAAAAAGAATATAAATCTTTAATTCTTGAATCACTTCAAAAAAAAATTGAATGGTGTTCCTTCTCTTTCTTTGAGCCCAAGAAAAATATAGATGGTTTCTTCTTCAATGATGAGAGAATTCTTGCGTTTTACCTGCTAAGAATCCTCTAGTTTGCAAATACTGAATAAATTATGAATGTAGGAGAGAGTTCTCCAGGTTATGAGACTCCCCTATTTATGAGACTATTTATAAATAGTCTTCAAATATGAGAACACGTGATTAAGATGCCCTTAATTCTTAAAAAATCGTCTTTCTAAATTTCAATCAGATTGTGACAATAAGGGTCTCGCTTAAATTTTTCTCAGACACTTTCAGACGAGACTCCAAAAATCCAAGCTCCTATAGCTAACTGCAATTCTCACCCAGCCTTGCATGGCGATGGCTGGCACAAGGCTGGGCGAAAGTTAGTTTCTTCTTAACTCCTTTCAAACATCATAAAATTCATCCTCAACTTTTAAGTTTCTCCGTTCAATTTCTCCAACTTTTTCGTCAAATTAAATCCACCCTTCTAGTTTTTTTATTAGTTCAATTTGACCCCTATCTTTTTTTTTTTTTTCCTTTCAAAAGTTCAATTTTAGTTCTCACGCTTCACAAAATTCTTCAATTGACTTCCAATGCTCTTCCAATGAAGTCTTTGCGCTCCAAAAGTCACGCAATTTCGTCCTTTTTCCTCAACTAAGCTCCTAAAATCTTCCCTTTCTGCTGAAACCGTTTACAAGTTCGCATTTTTACCTAGAAAAATAATATAGATACAAAATTAACTAGCCATTTTAAGAGCTTTGATAAGCTTGTAAAAACACTTAACATATCTTCAGAACAATGCTCCATACATCTTGCACGTGTCATTTTATTAATAAATTGCATAAATTGAAATGTTAGGGACCAATATACGAAGAGGTCATAAATTGGATTTTTGCACCAAATTTTTTTCTCAATTTACTGCACATCATAGGGCATGTGTCATGTGGGTCTCATATCTTCTTTTTTCTTACCTTTCATTTTCATTTATTTATTATTTTCAGGTAATTTCTTTTTGTCTCAAATATCCCTTCTCACTTTATACAGGGTTACAACTTATATATATACCTAGTTCCCTCTCTTCTCTCCTTATTTATTAATTCTATCAGATCTGACCTTCAAACTTAGCTTATAAGCTGGTTCTTCTTGGTGAAGATCACAAGAACCCATTAACATCCTTTCATCTCTATCAACTCCATGCATGAAACTAATGAATTTTCAGTGTCTTTGCCCCTGCAAAAGGAAACTGAATAACCACATCTAGTTTTCTCTCTTATATAAATACTGTTCTTTACAAATTCTTGTGAATTAGGTTTAGTTCTCAAAGGATGTCAACAGACAATAATGCCATAGCGGCCAAGTCCGTCGGAAAAGACGAAATCAGTGGTTTGACAGGCCGGAAAACCACCGCAGCAAAGCCCCAAGAACCGGCTTTAAAGTGCCCTAGATGTGATTCACCAAACACCAAGTTTTGCTACTACAACAATTACAGTCTGACACAGCCAAGGCATTTCTGCAAAACTTGTAGAAGGTACTGGACTAGAGGAGGAGCCTTGCGCAATGTGCCGATTGGCGGTGGCTGCCGGAAAAGTAAGAAAATGAAGGCTTCTAATTCTAGAATTTCTGGGGATTCGAGGGATTCCATTGGATCATCTGATATTGGTGGACTGAAATTCTTTCAAGGTATATCACCAGCCATGAATTTCCAGCTTGGAGGGTTAAATTTTCCTAGGCTGGACTATCCATATAGTGGTCTTTTTAACCAGTTTTCCTCTTTTGGGGATATGCCAAACAATTCTACTTCTGCAAGTGCATCAAACCCTTGTTTCAGTCTTGATCCTTCGGGAAGTTCACCTATGATGGGATTCAATTTTCCTTTATCTTCTTCACTTAAACAAGGAGAAACCAGCACTCCAAATCTTCAAGAAATGGGCGGCGGTTCTTTAAACGTTCATGGCCGTCTAGCAACTTCTATTGAGTCCTTGAGCTCTATCAACCAAGATTTGCACTGGAAATTGCAGCAAAAAAGATTGGCAATGCTTTATGTTGAAGAGAATCAAAAGGAAAACTGTGTCTCAATTACTGCAAATCTTGAACCCCAGAATCAGAAACAAGAGGCTTTTTTGTTTCAGAACCTGGAAATTGCAAAACAAGAAGCTTCTGGAATTGGCAGTTCAACAAAAGAGGGAACAAGTGCAAATCTATCGACTGAGTGGTTTTTTGATAATTCTTATGCACCAGTAACTCCAATCCCGCCCATCGGTAATGGCAGTGCAAATGAAAACACCAGCAACTGGAATGGAATTCAAGCATCATGGAGCAATTTGAATCAGTACAGTTCATTCCCATAGAACTGTGAAAAATTTAGCTAGAATTTATCCATATCTGTATGTCATCTTATGGCTTCTATTTGGTAATTCTATAGGCTCAAACAAGATGTTACCTTTTGTATAAGTCTGTTGTTCTGTATTGTGTTGTGCAATTAAGGAGAAATATAGAAAGGGAAAATAGCTTTTCAAGATTAATTTCTTATTGAACTTTGTTTCAGTACAAGGATCTATCAGTATTTTCTTTGCATTTGATTAGACCATCCTTCTTCTTTTGTGGGAACAAGGTAAAGTTTGTGAGTATTTTTTGTATCCATTTTACTTCAATCTCTTTGGGATAAGTGATTGATTTGGACCGTAGAGTTAATGGCATATCTCTGATATGTTTCAGTCTCCAGAAGCTCTCCTCATATTGTCGCTGGGCGCTCTTTATCTGGCAACTGATCCTCAGAATCTGATCAGCCACTGACACCATGTCTAATGAATTAATTATGTAACACAGCAGTAGCTGGGCAAGGCTTCTGTCTGCCTACCTAGTTTTTATTTTTTTTATTTTTTATTTTTTTCTGCATAGTAATTGGTTGCAGTATTTTGTGATCTGGTGGTGTCTGAAAAAGTAGTGGCTTCAAAGGAAATAAGACTGTACATTTGAATGAATAGAGAGATGGAGATAGCAGTAATTGCATCCAGAAGCTCTCCTCATATTGTCGCTGGGCGCTCTTTATCTGGCAACTGATCCTCAGAATCTGATCAGCCACTGACACCATGTATAATGAATTAATTATGTAACACAGCAGTAGCTGGGCAAGGCTTCTGTCTGCCTACCTAGTTTTTATTTTTTTTTATTTTTTATTTTTTTCTGCATAGTAATTGGTTGCAGTATTTTGTGATCTGGTGGTGTCTGAAAAAGTAGTGGCTTCAAAGGAAATAAGACTGTACATTTGAATGAATAGAGAGATGGAGATAGCAGTAATTGCTTATGGTTCGTCCTTCCTCCTCGCAAAAATATAATGTTTAGCTCTTGTGAATCTGTTCAGGATGATTCCCATTCAACACTAAGGATGAAATAATTTAAATGAATAAATTTGTAGATTCCTGATCCAATCTTTAGAAGGTATATCGACTTTAACTTTTAAATTGAACGGTTCTACGAACATTGATATTATGATAAAATTGTCATTTTCATGTGGGGGAATGTTTACTTTTACCTTGTTCATTCTTAATCACTTTAAACTTTTAATTCATGAAAAATTAGAAAGCAGCTTCATCTTAAAATTTGGTTTCTACCCTATCGAATTCAAACAGCCAAGATTTATTTTTTAGAGAAATATTTTCACTCTCATATTTCTATACATAGAATTTACGTTTTACGTAAAAATCAATCCCCTAGTTATTTTATACAAATAAATTTGTCTAATTGAGCGATACATAAATCTAACCTGTTTCCCAATTTTGATCATGCAAATTTATTTATTTATTTATTTTTATTTATATGTGTGTTATCGTAATTAGAAAGCAGCTTCATCTTAAAATTTGGTTTCTACCCTATCGAATTCAAACAGCCAAGATTTATTTTTTAGAGAAATATTTGCACTCTCGTATTTCTATACATACAATTACGTTTTATGTAAAAATCAATCCCCTAGTTATTTTATACAAATAAATTTGTCTAATTGAGCGATACATAAATCTAACTTGTTTCCCGATTTTGATCATGCAAATTTATTTATTTATTTATTTTTATTTATATGTGTGTTATCGAACAAGTTTGCAGTCTTATGCATGTAACCGACACAAAATTCAAAAAATTTCAATTTTTTTGTAAAGATAGAATCATGCACGTGTTATATATAGAGCAAACATGTTTTTAAAATTAGAATAAACTATTTCATAAATATACACAAAAAAGAGAACAAAACAATGATTTACTAACTTTATTTTATCCCATTTAACACTTTATTTTTGAACTTTATCTAAAAGGGTCAATTTTTTTCTAGACAACTTGTGTAGTGTGTGTGTGTGTGATTTTTTTTAGAGAGAGAAAGAAAAGTAGATAGAGAAAGTGTTGGTTGGGCGAGGATAGGGAAGAAAGACAGTGTACAAAAAAGAGAACAAAACAATGATTTACTAACTTTATTTTATCCCATTTAACACTTTATTTTTGAACTTTATCTAAAAGGGTCAATTTTTTTCTAGACAACTTGTGTAGTGTGTGTGTGTGTGTGATTTTTTTTAGAGAGAGAAAGAAAAGTAGATAGAGAAAGTGTTGGTTGGGCGAGGATAGGGAAGAAAGACAGTGTGTAGCGAGATTACCGTGATAACTGGAAGAAACCTCGAGTTACACTGCATTGCTGTTGTTTTCAACTGTCAATTTATGCCTTGCAAGAATTTCATGAGCCTAAAACATTTTCAGACAACTATGCCTAAACTACTTATTTTAAGATCCACTCACTATTCCCATATTTGATTTTGATAATAATCAATTTTTTTTACTCGATTTTGATAAAAGTGGATGAAACACGGGATTGAAAAATAAATAAAAGTTGTGGATCCTGTTAATTGTACGATTGAAAGTGAGTTTTTAAGAAATGTAGGTCAAACGGGAGCTATTATTTTCTTCTTTAACATTAATTTGATTGCAAATGTTCAACTAACATTACATTAAAAGTGCGTTTGATATTCCGTACAGTATTAGCCTATTCCAATTACTCGACATTACACTTATCAATGTAATTATTTATTTTTTTATTTATTTTTTTACATATTAAAATAACTCAAAAGACTTCATTTGCTAAGGCCTTTGCTTTTGCTTCTTGGAGAGAATGAGAGGGAGAAATACGGGGCGGGAGGGGGGGGGCCGACTGAAGTGTCAGCAGCTCGTTGGCTGTTTTTTTTAAAAAATTTCAAACTCTTCAATCATGCATCGATGTACGGCTTGCTTTTTACCCTGTCTTTATAGCGTTGCTGAACAATTTTCGGATGAGGATGGGGTTGTTTACTTTTCTCCTTCCTAATTAAAACGAGAAAAATGCAATGCACTTAAGATGGTCACCCATTTTCCGGCCCCTGGTGAGTTCAAAACAACGGGCCATTGAGTCTCACATTATTCACACACCATAATCATTGCTAATTTATCCTTTAGCAGCATCTTCCTTCTGTCCATATTGAACTATACCTCATTAATCATTTGCCTCATCTTTGACCAAACTCTGGCTTAAACTATTTTTATTTTCGGTTATTTCATTTTTTTGTTGGGAGGATTAAGAGTTAAATTGAGACTCAAGGATCAATGCCACCAAAATTTTGTGAGAACATGTTGTGTTTTGATCAGTTTACATGACTGTCAAGTCCAATTCATGGTTACTCAGATTCTCGAATGGGATAGTATACGACTTTAATTCTCTATTAAAATTTTTAGGGTTAAAAATAAAAATAAAAAAATCTCTCGAGACTCCAACGATCAAAATCTTCTTGATTCTTAATTTACATGTGATGTATGCAAGTTATGAATTCTTATGCAATGGAATATGCGTAATGATGATTACGACTTCAAAAGCTCGTTGAATCACAAAGAACATGAATGATCTCCTAAGTACCGATCCTTAATTTATACCAAGCACCCAAGTGATAATAGGTGGTGAAAGATAATCGTTGGTTACAAAACTGATTACACCACATATTGTAGTATACCACCTCACCGATATTTAGTATAAGTTAAATACCGTTACTTAGGAAATCAATTTTGTTACAAAGAATATCAAAATTTTAGGCAAAATATGGAGAAATTTATTCTCACAATATTTCATTTAGGGACGTGTCTTCAATTGAAATTCTGATGGATTTTAAAAATCCTTCTAAATTTAAGTATCTTCAATTGAGATTTTAATGAAATCCATTAAAATTTAAGTATCTTCAATAACTAATGGATTTATAAAGATTTTGTTAATAAAGGAATTTTAATAATTTTGGGACAGATTTCAAGTTTAAAAATACATATAACTAAATCTTTTGAAATTTCATCATATTTGATGAGATTCTTATGAAATTTGTGGAAATCTAGTTAAATCCACAAATTGATTATGAATTATAATGTTTTAAAATTCATCAAAATTTTAGTTGAGGACTCCCACGTTAGTATCTTTAACAATGACAACCAAATAATCTTAAATCCTAATACTAAAATTTAAAGGAAAACAAGAAATCCTAATTTAGTATTCTAAACAAAGACAAATTCTGGAAACATAATCTAAAACAATGTTGAATAGGTTTTGTAGGTCGAGTAAATTTATTTGTATTTGTGAACATTCTAATTTTAATTTTGTCAAAATGTCAATTAGGAATATCTTCAGAATCAGAATTTAGAAATTCATAGGGTAATGAGAGTATCAATTCCTAATCCAGAGGCAAAAAAATTCAGTTTTCATTTCCTACCTCGAAAACCCATCCGGTGTCATAATTTCTTCATTCGAGTACTGTAATAATTTAAACATAAAAAAATAAAATAAAATAATAATAATAAAAAATTGCGAAAAAAATCATAATTATCATACTTTAAATTAGAGGTGGACATGGGTCGGGTCGGTTCGGTTCTCTTTAGAATCGAACCGAACCAAAATTTTTGGATATCTAGTAAATAGAACTATCGGATCCAAATATAATTATGGAACCGTTCGAGTTCGGTACTATAATTAAATTTTTTAACATTTATAACAACATTATATAAATACAACTAATGACACATTCAATAATTTTAAAGTGTCAGAGACTAGTAGACTATCTTATTCAAATGATTGCTACAGTCAAGTTTCGGTTGGCGGAAGTCACAGCGTCGGCAGGCAATTGTATAGGTTTTGGAATGTCACGAGTCTGCGAGAGTGAGTGGGAGATTCGAGACAGCGTTATACACTTTAGTGTAGGTGTTTATGGTTATTTAATGGATTAGATTTTGTTGGGTTAAGAAATGAACAATAAAATGGGTAATTGGGCAAAAATTTAAAAAATTATAAATGAAACAAATTATTGGGCCAAAAATTTGGATTTAGAAATTGTTAGTTTGTTAATTTGTTTAGAAAATTAAAATTAAAGTAATTTGATTTATTCAATATAAAAAAAAATTATAAAGATTCGGTTCTTGTTCGATTTTTCAATTTTTGGTTTAGAACCAAGAACCGAATTGTACACGTCGATTCTCAATTCAGATACTCGTTCGGGTATTTAATTTGACAAGAATCGTCGGGTTCAATTCGATTCGGTTCGACTTGGTTCGGTCGGTTCAGTTCAGAGGATTTGTCCAACCCTACTTTAAATGTTCATTTTCAAAAATATCAATTATGTATTTATATAAAAGAATAATGTGACTTAAATTGAGAGTAATTTATATGATAACTGAGGATATTTTCTCTCATCTTACACATTCTATTACTAAAAAGGGGATCTCCCATATCAATGACATTATTTTCCAAAATAGATGAAGAATTTGATCAATAATTTCCCTTACGTGATTTCTACATAATAACTGTTTTCTTGTTGTCACCACAGTCGCATCGTTTTTCCACTTATTGGTGAAGCACATAGTTGTACAATCCTTTATAAATAACTTTTTATGGCCACCGACATTGACCATTTCCCGCTAGAAAATTCACCAGACACGTTATATTTCTTCATGATTTATAAGCTTCATGTTTAATACCTTGTGTGACTGTAACCTATTACGTTATGTGATTGTGACTGTCAACCACAAATATGTGACATTATTTTGTCCTTTTATGTCGCCTCTAATATATTTTATATGTATGATTTAAGAATGTGATATAAAATGTGTCTTTGAATATTGCGATTTCGTTTGAAAATTGTGATTGATTTCAAAAGGAAATAGAAGGAAAACATTGAATTTTATTGCAAAGTATCTATGAACTGATGAACGTTTTGTGCTTTTGGAATCTAGTAATGATGATAATTGGCCTTCAAATTCAGGATTAGTTTGATATTGTACGTAGTTATCATACATATGTTTTTTGATAATATAATTAAAATATATAAAAATAAATATTTTCCGTAATAAAAAATTATATAACACCTGATTTTTGAATAAAATTTGTAATGGACTAATTAATGATAATATATCTTATAACATGGTTTCAATAATTTTTCAAGTGGAAATTACAGAATTCCAGATCTTTAAAGATTCGAATTCAAAAATCAGGTTCAAAGTTTAATTATTCACATGTTAGGTTTGTTGTGCTTAGAAAAATTCATTCGTGCAGAATCACACTTCAAACCGAATACACAAAAACAAAAATAAAATGAGAGAATACGAGATTTTTCGGCCCAAAGGCCCTGAGGTTCGGCGACCAAATCTAACGCCTACATCCCCGTTGAGCATCCATCAGGAATAAGCTCAAATCCACTATGAACAGCCCAAATATAGGCAAAAGCGTCTCAAGAACACATAGTTACAAAACTTCTCAAAAACGAAAGATCTTCTCACAACAATATTGAACTCACACAAGAGTTCATCTAAATTCCTAATTCTCTTTACCAAAATCACACAAGATCTACAGAGAGAACGAATCAACAAAGAAGACAAAAAAGAGAGTACAAAAACTCGAAGCTGCTAGGGTTAAAAACTCTTAACCCTAATCACCCCGTTTCTTTCCTTTTATATGAGAGTAACCCTTTATTGTCATCCAACGGTCCATTTCCTGCCACTTGTCTTGAATCCGGAAGAGTTGTTATTTCATAACAAAAAACGCATTTCTGTTTTGCACTTATAACAACCCGACCCTAGTTCTGGAAGTTTCTTCACAATGGATCATCAATTGCCCACCAAGTTTGGGCCACACTTTACAGTCCATTTAAATCAGCTGGGCCAAAACACAAAATCCAACAAATTAATTCTTACAAGGTTTAATAAATTAAATACACCCAATTCAAATTTCAAACCCTAATCTCTTCACCCATCCATTACAAGACTTTCCCATCCTCTCTCTCATTGCTCGAAGCCGACGAGTAATTAAACTCTGCGACCGGCGACGAAGGGAGCCCAACGGCATGGGGAGGTACCGGTGCCGGCATGGGAGGCGACGCAGCAGCTCGCGACGTGCAATTCCTTTCTCTTTCCGATCTGTAGGCGTTGGTTTTGGGCCATCTCTACCGTCTCTCTCTTCAACGCTGACCGCATCGAAGTCACAACCGACCCTTCAAGCAACTCTAGAGTCGGTGCCTCTGCTCGCGGATATGTAGGTTCGACGGTGATGACTTAGGAGGAGGTGAATCTGGCATGGCTGGTTTGGGGATTTTTGTTACGTCGTGGCCCGTGGGTGGTGGTTGTTGTGTGACTTGGTGATGGTGATGAACGGGGATGGTGGTGGTTCTCGCGACGACGAGGGGCTTGGAGATGGTGGAGGTGGTGGAGGTGGTGAGTTTGGGGTTTTTTTGTTGGATGGTGGTTGTGATACGGTGTGGTGATGTCCGTATTGTTGGCGGCGATAGGGTTGGTGGTGGATCTAGTGGCGGCGATAGTATAGCTCAGACAACGATGGTGGTGGTTTTTGTGGTGTGTTTGGTGGTGGCGATGGATCTAATAGCGACTATTTTGTTGGTGGTAGTGTTGTGGTGTTGGTGGCGACGAGGTGAGGGTGGTTACAAGAGACAGTGGTGACAGTGGAGTTGGTGGTGGTGACCGACTATTTGACTCGTGACTTTAAAATTCGATCATTTGTGATCAAAAAAAGTAATTTGTGACTATCAAACTTGAAAATATGTGACATGTGATCTGTAATTTTTTAAATTTGTGACCTATAATTTTTAATTCGTGACCTCTACATAATATGTGACCTATTAAAATTGTGATTTGTGACCTCAAAAAATTCGTGATCAATTAATTTGATGATACGTGACCATTAAATAAATTTGTGACTTATAATTGTGAATCTTTGACCAACCATGACTTTATTATTATTATTTAATAAATATTTTTAATTAATTAGTGAAAACCTGATTATTGCATTAATGAAACTTGTAACTGGATTTTGAATTATGCATACTTATTTGTAAACTCTGCCCATTTTTCAATTTAACCTTGCCGAAATTGGGCTGGATATGGGCCGTGCCCAAAATGGACCGGAATGTCCAGCCTTGAGAGATCCGACCATTTTTAATGCTATCAAGTAAACCGATAATATAATAGAAATTTTAACGAGGGAAGAAGAAAAGGCATACAGAATGATATGTTTGAACACATTCTCGTTACCAGCTACCCCTTTGCCACACACTAATGCTCCAAATTCCAAAACAAATCCTCCACATTTCAAAATCAGAATTAGAACCCACAAAATTAACTGTATCCCAGAAGCTTACGATGATGAAGAAACTGAAAATGCATCAAAAATTACAGTTGCATTGCCTCACCATGTGAAAACCATCACAAGTACATCAAACCCATTTGTAAAACACTGTCTCAAACTTCGGCAGAGCTCCTCTTATAGACAATCTCATGACTCGGTTCTTGTTGTTGGCACTACTCCCATAAGGTCTGTTTCTTCTTTCTCTCTTTTTCGTTGGTCTTTCTAGGCTAGTGCTGTCAAATTATTCATGTGGTATTGAGAATGGGCACTTGTGATTTTTGTTTAACCATATGTGTAAGAGTAATTGGTGCATACAGGTGCCTTTTCTTAGATTTAATATTTTTGGGTTATGCGTTAAAAACCTTCCATTTTGGTTTCTTTGGTGAAAAAATTAGTAATAAGTAGTGTTGAATTTCCGTTTTACATGTTTACGAACAAGTTAAACGGCATATGGATTCGTTGACATTGATTCTCGTTCTCCTGTTTCGTGATGTTTTGGCTTGTGAAAGGAGATCATGGAGTTAGCGGTGCGTTTGCCATGTGTTTGTAGGAATTCCACTCAGGAGCAGAAAACTATTGAAATCTAAGATGGATTCCATGTTGTATATTCGAAAGTTTAGAATGCATACTTGGTATGATGATTGGACGGTTGGACCTGGAAGAATATATATGGGTTGGACCTTGTGCAGTCATATCATATTGTATACTTATCTTTGACCACGGATCGACCTAATATTGGATAGTCGGTACATCAATATAGGTATAAGGTTACCTTCATTATGGTGAAAGCCTGCAGTGGTTGAGTGTATACCAATATCTGAACAATATGTTTGGTCCCCACAGTATCGGGTCTGAAAATATCAAGTACATTTTTTCATGCATCTGTATATACTGAAGATTGTGATCTGTATGTGATTTACAAATCACTTTATGCTTTACGATCTAGTAATTTCATTTCAATTTCTCTATACAACAGTCTGAGGCTTCGTCTTTTTTCTGTTTGCTTAGACTCAAAGTTTCTTTGGCTTCTTTCCTCGTAAAGTTGTAGCATGCTATCAGAAGTCGGAGCTCTGCAAAAAATGATAGATGAAAAAATTGATGCTTCAGTTTTTGGGATCTGACTCTTGGAAATGTCTCCAGGGAAATATACAGCTTTCAAGAAACATTGCAAGACAGGCCTACAATAGAGTTCTTACTTTTACACGACAAATATGATGTCCCACAAGATATAGTTGATCGTGCTATTCATGTGGTTCATGTCAGCTCAGCTATAATGAGAAAACTTTCTGGGCTTCAATCCATCGATTCTGTTGAAGTCATTGCCTTGATGAGAATACCTTCAACATTTCATGTTGTCAGCAACAGCCTGAATGAAGAAGATTGTAGTAGATTGTTTCCTTTCCCACATCGAATTCTAATTCTTGAAGGAATCCAGGTTTCCTTCAATTACAAACTTTATTTTAGAGATGTGTAGACATTTGCTATTGGCGCTTTCTTTTAATACTTTAGTTGTTCTACTACATGGTTTCTTTAATAGCAAATTACTGCCTTAGACACCCTACATACATGTCCATGCCTACTGAATATGCAAGGAGAAAAGTCACCATGCAGATGTCAATTAGAGCCATTATAAGATCCTGATTATACTTCAGCATCAGGTAACCTGTGTAGTTATTGGTGTTGACCGACTGAAAATTTAAGTAGGAATACTCAAGAAATGAACGATACTTACGGAAAGGTATTACATCTCAAAGAAGTGGAGATACATGTTAAAATCACATAAGTTCCACATTTTTGTAGCATTTACACCTTTGATGATAGAATGATCTGACATTACATGCGATTTTGTATAAAATAAGAAAATGGTAATCCATTGTGTAAAACTATTAATTTTTCACTTTTCACATATAATCTGTTAAAATCAAACAGTGAGAGCATTCATGAGAACTACTCCATCACAAGATGCACATCACAAGATGCAGTTAATAAGTCTAAATTTGCATAAAAGTTTGATCCTCATAAGTTGTAAATTCTCCAGGACCCTGGCAACCTTGGCACACTACTAAGATCAGCGACGGCCTTTGGATGGGTGAGTAACTATGATGCCTTGTAAGTTTTTGATTTTGCGCCTTATAGTTCTGAAATTATCAGCTTCTCCATCTTCATCAAGCATTGAGGTATAAGTAATTAATAGTAATGTATTCAAGAATTAGTTGTTGTAGACGTCACCTGCGTATTGTAGTTCATGTCCCAGCATCCGTAATTCGCTTCAGCCATCTGAATTATACATGGTAGAATTGCAAGTTAATCAGCCTTTCTTCTCTTTCTTTGTTTTTTAATTTCCGTAGTTTGAATGCACTCAAAGTGAAATTTGATCTTCCATTCTCTGAGGCTGCATTGATGTTTCTAGCTTTTAAACTTGATATTTTTTATTCATTCAGAGGACAGGTTTCCTGACATTGAATACATACTTATTACATAATGCTTTTTATAATATGGTGAAATTCTTGTTTTAAAAAAAGTAGATTTTAGGTTCATTCAAATAAATGAAACTCTTAGCTCAAGTTTAAGCCATTGAATTTAGGTCAATTTTATCCTTTTTTCTTTGTTTTCCTCTTTCCAAATAGCGAGTCTTGTATTATACTAACTTGAAAAGTTGCCTTTACATCGCCTCTTCTGGCTACTGTACGTTTGAGGTGCAGAGAGCTGGTTCAGCTGGGTTATTCACCATTTATCTAACCCCAAGCAGCTGAACCCAGCAATTTTTTGTATTGCAGAGTCAGAATAAGTTTCGAGGTTTAGTACTGGTAAATGGATTTCAAGGAATTCGGAAGTGAGATATCTAATCATGTTATTGGAAGAGGCAGCATTGAAAATTAAGCCTGTTTGGTACAGATTCTTCCAAACTAATTCTTCTCCTAAACTCATTTTCAACCACACACTCCCAATAAAATATTTTTACACGTAGACGCATAGTTTTCTCTACTTTTACCACACATTTTCCCAAAAAAATCACTTCTCGTAAAATCTATTCTAAAAAAAGCTACGTCAAAGAGGCCAGAAAAGTAAAAGTTATTTATATTGCTCTAAAGGAAAAGATTTTAAAAAAATTGCATAGGTCATGATGGGACAAATATGTAAAGAAACCTTAAATTGCACGCGTTACTGTTATTTATATTTTGTTAATGAAGATAAATGGTTTTTGCTACAAGCTAGTATTAGATGCATTAAGAGAGAGCAGATACATGGCACATCTTCCTCTTGAGATTTTTTAAACTTGTATTCACCCCCATAATGTTTATGTAAATGTTTTATCAATTCAACAGGGTGGTGTCTTTCTACTTCCTGGTTGTTGTGATCCATTCAACGAGAAAGCGCTTAGAGCTTCTCGAGGAGCCTCCTTTCAAATTCCAATAGTTTCTGGCAATTGGACTCATGTAGAATCTCTCAGAAAATTATTTCAAATGAAAATATTGGCTGGCCATCCTGCAGATGACAAAAATTCCAATAAAGTGCATAGGCTTTCTCAAGATTTTGCGGATTCTGTGGCAGATTTACCATTGTGCTTGGTTTTGGGCAGTGAAGGAGCTGGTCTTTCAAAGGAAAGTAGGCAATCTTGTGAGCTTATAAGCATTCCAATGGCAGGAGAATTCGAGTCTCTCAACGTTTCAGTAGCTGGAGGTATATTTATGTTCTTATTGCAGCCTGAGAACCATAGAGTTAGTTGATTCCTTCGAAGATGATTCATCCCCGCCACTCCTTTTTTTGGGTTTCCCTTGTTCGACTGAACCACCTAAAGACAAGTACTGTGCAATGGGTGTGGTGTTGTTAATGTTAGGACACACATACTAGGAACATACTCTTAACATATCTTCGATGGTGAAGGCCCAGACTAGCTAGATGCTACCTTGATAGCATTTAGGTACTCGATTCCTTTCTAACATGTTACTTGTATTTGTACATCCCCAATTGTTATGTTGAGATTCGTCAATCTTTTGACGTGTTGGCTAAGTTTAAGAAAATGTTACGTGTCTAATTTTGGTAACTTTGCTCAAGCATGTTTGAATATTTTCAACCAATTATGTATGCTTTTCATTTTGAATTTTGTTATATGTACAGAATTTTTGTACAAGTCGTTGATTTGAATTTCAGAAAGGAATTTGCTACAGTCACTCTAGGTTACCTGCCTCTCACATAAGGGGCGGGTCCCATGCACAACTCATGTGAGGGGCAGGTACACTCCGAGTACAGATAGTAAAATCCTTACCCTCCGATTACAAATAGTAAGATCCTTTCACACATTCAATTTAAGGGATGAATGCATGCCATCTATCAACCTTTCTGTGCAAAATCATCTCTACAACCAGAATAAATAATTGTTTCATTTTAGTAAATAGATATGTTTGAAAAATAGTGAAGGACCAATATGAAATTGTTCTTGAATTTCAATACTTATTTGTCAGAATCACTCTTTTTTTTTTTTTTTTTTTTTAGAGCATGTACAACAAGGGACTTTCACTGGATCTTGATAGTTACCTTCTCTTTTATTGAAAAATCGCTGGAGCAACTTCATCCAAACAAATTCCGAAATAAAATTAGTTGGAGGGTTCGCCGGGATCCACCAACACCGGCCGGGTATGTCAGCCGTGAAACCCCTACAGCCATCGTCTTCGGCCACGGTCTGCACCTCCGAGTCTCTCTCCTCACTCTTGCCATCCTAATGCTACTTTCCTTCACTTACCTCTCAATTAAATCCCTCCACTCCCCTTCTCTCCAACCTTCCACCTCTACTGCCGACACTGTACAAGTCTCTCGGCCTCAGGTATAATCAATTCTTTATTCAGTTCGAATGCTTTTAATTTCCTAATTGTTTGCTCTTTTTGTTTCTTCTGATTTGAAGGCAACAAGCGAGGACGAGGCTGTTGGGGATGAGGTGTGTCATTCGGCGAAGATGTTCAAATTGAACTACGAGAAAATGGAAAGGAGATTCCAGATGGATATCCGAACACGTATTACGAGAGTCTAAGGAAGCTGACGGGAAAATACACTAGCGAGGGCTACTTTTATCAACATCTTAGGGATAGTAAGTATGTTACAGAGGATCCAGATCAGGCAGATTTGTTCTTCATCCCGATCTCGTCATAAGATGCGAGGTAAGGTAAGCCCGCTTAATTTGATTGAATTTTTGTTTCCTTTAGTTTGTGGAAAGTGGGCCTTAATCGTGATTCTTTAATAGGCAATGTCCAATATGTATTATGGAATTAGAAAATGAGTTTTTATTTACCCGCCAATTTTTATTAGTGGAGTATTATGAGTTCATTGTGAATTTGATAAATTTTGTCTGTCTGCTCGAAATTTTAATTTTTCAACCTTATTGACATGGACAGTATTACAGCATGGGTTTTAGTTAGATTTTGGTGAATTCTTCTCTAGTATGAAATTTTTAGGTTATTATGTCTTGATTATGGATGTCTAATATTGCAGCATTTCTTAACCATCCTATGTGATTCTGCTTATGACTGATAATGTGATTTCAAGATTCAGTGCATTATATTATTAATGTATGTATTATCTTTTAAGGCCTAAGTGACACCAGATGCTACATCTTTGGATAATTTCAAAGTCCATTATGCATGCTTGTTCTATTCTTTTTCACCCTTCCAATCTATTCTTTTGGAGATGAAGTACCCGCTGTGTTTAGAGGAATGTCTTAGATGGCAAGAAAATTAAGGTAGAAGGCGTGAAATCAACTAAAAATGTTGAATGCTTATTTCAGATGTTAGGCCGATATTGACATGTTAATTGGTGGTTTGATTTTTGGACTTGAAGTTCCAATTTCTTGTCTCTTCAGTTTCACTTTCTGGTCATCTCTCTTTGACTTCTGATGCAAAACTCTTTCTATGTTTATCATGGGTTTCGGGATAAACTTAGTTCTATTGAAGTCCTCATAACTATTCAACGCATGAAGATGTTAAGTCTTTGTACGTAAGCATCCAGAAGCTTGGAGCTAATAGAAAATTACAATAACAAGTTCAACAGCAAGGTCCATTCCCTAGACTGTGAACTATCTAAAATGATATAGGAGTTGTATAGTCTTTTTGCTTCCATGGACAATATTTAATCTAGTATTGTCCGTTAAACTGAGCCACCTAAGCATGATGATTGCAAATTCACCTTTGCAACCTTTTGCCTTCTATAAAGAGAAGAGAACTCATTGTGCAACGTTGGAATTCCAGCTTGGCAGTCATATTCAAACTATTGCTTTGTGTATGTCATTTGCATCTACAAGATTTAGCTATTGTGAATTATGCCCTGCAAATTTAGTTATCTACCTAAGATATTCAACCCCAAAAGGCTAGGGTCTAACAGTAAGATAATTGCAGACTCATGCTTACTGTTCTATTGCATGAGCATACCGGGGTCTTGCAGCTTTTATAAGTTTGCTAGTTAAATGTTTTAAGATTTTTCTGATACAATGGTGTTAATGGTCTTAGCCCTGCTATGTTGTTGTTATACTTACACCATGGTTTAAGCCATTCCATGCTGCTAAATGATTCTCGATAATAACATGCAGGGAATATCATATGAGAACATGACTGTAATTGTACAGAACTATGTGGAGAGCTTGATGTCCAAGTATCCTTATTGGAATAGAACTCTGGGTGTAGATTACTTCTTTGTTACTTGCCACGATGTTGGTGTGAGGGCCACAGAAGGACTTCCATTTCTTGTAAAGAATTCAATTCGTGTCATTTGCTCTCCAAGCTATGATGTTGGATTTATACGTCACAATGATGTTGCCCTCCCAGAAGTTCTGCAGTCCTTTGCCCTCCCAGCTGGAGGAAATGATGTGGAAAACAGGTATGTCCTTTGATATGTTAACCACTTCAGGCTAAAATAATCTATGATGTAAATACTTCATTATGGTATTCATCCCCTTTTTTGTCTTTTTTGTTTGTTCATTGCCTTTTCACCACAATGATCTGAAAGTTGCAATTTTTTGAAAATCCTCACTTTCACCATGAGAATGGACTAATTAGGTATCAACGTCTTCTGCAGTTCCTATGCAATGACATAGAACCCTCTCTCTCCCTCCCTCCCTCCCTCCCCCCCTCTCTCTCTCTCTTTCTCTCACACACACACACACACGCACACACACACCACCCACTAGAATGTTAGTATGTTATACTATAAGCTTAATAGTCTAAATACTATTTCGGACAGCATATAAAAGCAGTTAAGCAAAGCATTTGTTCTCATTCTAGAGGTGAAATTTTTGTGCATGTAAAAAGTATCAGCAAATTGTTTCTCTTGAGCACTTCTCTGCAGCTTTGTATCTCTAACCAACCTAATATCACAACAAATAACTTTTTGGAGTGCTAGTCTTTACAATGTTATTATTAAGTTTTTGCATTTAATGGGTGTGAAAGCAGTAATTCATTTAAAGTTGCAGGTTTAGTGTTTTCGTGTTTATCTATGAAAAATTTTCTGGTTCAATGCCGTGTGACTTGCCAAAATTAAACAATGACCGAGTGGGTTCAGTTTCTTTGTTTTGGGCCCTGGAAATTATTGGACCCAAAATCTGTAATTCAAATGGCGAGGAGTAAGAGGTTTCAATGGAATCCATTTTACTTTGCTTCATGTGTGAATTAATGTGGTTTGCCTGAAGAAAATTTTACCAATTTATATGAACGACAAAAAGAATTTCTAAAAGAATTTCTATAGTAAATAGCAATCATTTTTCAAGTTCTATCGAAGTTTACGTTTATATCATCTATGTTAAAAGTTGAAGTTGCAACATTGGTAGACATTCATTTGTTTGTTTGTCATTCTTTCATGTTTTTTGAAAGTTTGGTCCTGATTCAGAATTTTAGAGAATTACTCACTATTGCAAAATAAATCATCTGTGGAGTAAATTCATTCAAGACATAATAGGTTATGTGTTTAGATGACTCAATGATTTTTTAATGAAGAAAACTTTGGTAAAAACATGAAGAGAAGTTTTCCTGGATGCTCTTGGCAAACCAAGTAAAACGAGCAATTTACTATAAATTTGTTCAATCAGTGCAAGTTTTGTGGTTTATGGTTTTGCTTTTGTTTCAGTTACATAAATTTCATTGAGTTCATATCTATTTATTCTGCACTTCATATTGTACTTCTGTGCACCTTTTTGCTCTTCCTTCTATTACTAATCTCCTATGCTTATATATTTTTGTGGTGTTATTCCAGTTCTGTAGTTGTAGTGTGTACTTTTCCTCTTGTGGTGTCCGTCGTAACTTAGTTGAAAAGAAACACACGAGTGTTATATACAATGTTTACTTTCTTAAAGTTAAATATGACATGCAGGACGACTCTTGGTTTCTGGGCGGGGCATAGGAACTCTAAAATTCGGGTTTATATTGGCACGTGTATGGGAGAATGACACAGAACTTGACATTTCAAACAATAGAATAAACAGGGCATCTGGACATCTAGTGTATCAAAAGAGATTTTACAGGACAAAGTTCTGCATTTGCCTGGTGGCTCCCAGGTCAACAGTGGTCGCATAGCAGATTCTATACATTATGGGTGCATCCCTGGTGAGAATTTAATTTTTTTAGATGTTTGTTATTAGTCATCAATTATCTTTTCTGATTTACAATCTCTGCATCTTCGATTCTTCCATGCATGATACACACAGAATGAAGAGCATTATAACTTTTTTCCCATTGAACAAGATGAGGGTTATGCTCTCACCTTTAATGGAACATAACACGCAAGACCTACCACATGATTCCATTTGCTCTCCTGGATTTCCTTGTTATGGGATCTCTTCACCTATATTGGGGCAAGGAGTTGCTCATTGTTCTTGCCAAGTCTTATAAATATCAACGTCAACATTCTTTTCCTGCGTGGTTTGGATAAATTGAAGATTCCGGCACAATTTACATTAGTTCTCTCAATCTTGTATGGTATACAAAGCTTAAACTCCTTTTGAAAAATGACTATGCTTGATCTAGAAAACTTAAAACACAACGAATAGGAATTTATGTCTAAATGAATGGCAAATGAATAAAGATTATGAAATTTGAAATGATAATTTTCTAAATTTTGTATGATAAGACTGAATTTTATAACTA